AACGTAACCTAAAGCGAGGGCCCCTAGTGTCTTTGCGTCAAGCCTCCTCTCGGCTCACACCTAGCTTCAGGTCAACGAGGCTCAAGCCAGACAGGCCGCAAACAGTTGGGCAGCAATGAACGAAGGTTGCCTGTTCGAGGGGGGGCTTGCGGGTAGGTGGGGAGCACGGGGAGTCTGGAAAATCCAGAACTCGGTTGAAGGATATGTGTGATGGGGATCAGTGCTGTGGGAGCCCGGCACAGGCAGGGGAACAGGTCGGGGATTCGGATAGGACGATCAGGTGGAACTAGAGATCGATCGATTCTGAAAATTGAGCATTTTTTCAAGTAATTACATCTTTACTGAATTTACCGCTAATTCAATGGTCCGTGCACCCCATACTGAATAATCGATTAGGTACAACTAGGCCATTTCTCAACCATTCAATATATTAACGAACTTCACAAATTCCCAACTTCAACCCCCATCGCCAGCCAGCTTCAACCCCTCAACACCATACCCCCAGTACGAAACAGTCGAAATGAACATATCGTCAATCAGTTCATTCTACGGGATAACCCCGGTCGCACGTACCAAACCGCTACCTACACGTACTACAAATGGACCGATACGTTCAATATCACCCGTTTATACGACTATTTTAATAATAATTATTAATAGTATTGAAATTACTACCTCTACTAATAAGTTGAATACTATAAAAATATACGCAATTACACTATCTCCCTAATAGCCGCGTAAATAAAGAAGGTTGACTAGTACACTACTAAAACTATATTTTTCGATAGCCGACTATTCAATTTATTCAAGTTATCCCCTATACAGACGTTCCTCTATTCTCTCAACCCCTTATATATTCCTCCTAATTCGGCCTCTATTGTAAATAATTAGTTACCCCTTATTTATAATTAAATAAGGGTAAAGATAAAAGAAAAGTATATTGATAGAGTTAATTATATTAATATATTCTTTAATAAGTTAGATAATTACATTAGTAAATAAATTATTAATATATCCTTCTCGATACCTAATAATAGAAATACTTTCTTTTAGTCTAACTATTATATAAATACTACCGAGTATACCTCTATAAATTTCGCCGGTATAGTTTTAAAAATATATAATATAATAACTAATATTACAATTAAAATTAATAACTTTATTACCGATATATATGCTATAACTTGGTGGGTAATATTTAAATTTACAATTAGGCGTTTTAACCGGGTATTTCTAATATTATATAACTCTCACTTACTATAGTTATTAATAAAAGATTTGGTTTTTTTACTATTATTTCGAGTATTAAATTATTAAATCTCTATTATTATAAATTTTTTTCGTATATCGAAATTGCAATTAGCCCGCCTTAAAAAGTTAATAATAATATATTGCAGTAAACTTATTTCTATATTAGCAAAGTAAATTAGAAACTATTAGGGTAATTTCTTAATTCCTTTATTTATACTATTAATTAACTAAACTAGTATAATTACAAAATAGGGTTCATAATATAGATCTCTACAATTAGTATAATATATAAAGCCTATACTCAAGGTATTTGCATAGTAAGCTTGTATAGATAACCACTAATATTAAGAACCCCCCCGTATTCCCTATCCCCCCCCTTAACCCTAATAAGGCGGTCTACTCCCAATTATATTCCCTATACTCCCTATAGTATAATAAAACGAATTAGTTAGAATAGGATTATTATTTAATATTATTAATAGTACTAATTTCTAATATAATTTCGAAATTCTTAAAAGGTTTATAAAACTACTCTATAAAGCCTAATTGATATTAAAAACGGATAGAGCGACTATTAATTATATTATCCCTCGTTGGAATATTATATAAATTACTTAGGAGGCCGACTATATATCCCTCTATAATAATAATTAATATAAATTCAAGCGATTATTTATACTACGACAATAACGATAGTTAACTCCCCTAAACTGGCTTAGCTACCTCTTACACTAAAATACTATATAAGAAGCAGTAGTTAATATTCGTCCCCCCGTCGCCAACCTTATTATTTTAATTTTAAATTTTATTAAATTATATATTTATATTTTGTATAATATTATAGAGGAGCGGTTTGTATAGGATTTCTTATAATTTAGGATTCGCTATAGGATATACGTATTAAATTAGCGTATTTAGGAATATAGAAATATAAATCCTATAAACTTCTAAAATATATTAGTTAAATAAAGTTCAATTATTACCCCCCTTACTGTAAGGGTATTTAGTACGCTAACTAATAGTATACTATACGAATAAGCCTTTTCTACTATAAATTTTCTAGAGAATTCGAAGTATAATTATCTTAATGCTAATAAAATAAATATAATTACGTTCGTCTATATAAATAGAAGGAAGCTTAGAAACCTCTAGCAATCTTTTACCGGGCTTTCTATAATAAATAGGGACAACCTACTATTATAAATCGAGGAGCAGCTATATGAACACATGCAAGACGGCGATCAAGACGATAGGAGGGAGGAGGAGGGAGCCTAATAAAGGTATATAGAATTAGGGAGATAATTATAAAATATAGTATTTGCACTTTGCTCTAGAAGGTTTAGAAATACTAGAATAATAGTAATATCCAGCGCTGGCATTTATCTATAGATTAATTGATTTTATATAAATTACGCGATTTTTACCCTGTCTGGGTAGCCAGTCTGATAGTAAAAAACCGGATTTCAGTCACATGATCAAGTAAAAATGGTAAAAATGGGCATTTTTACATGAAATTTACTATATTTATGGTACTTACCGCTAGTTAGAAATTACGGATCGATCACTAGGTGGAACGAAGGGGGCTTTCTCGCTGGCTGGGGGGTTGTGTAGCCTGTAATGTAAAAGTGTACATACCTAGTGGCTGTACGTGTTTGGTGTTTCTGACCGTAACACCTGGCGTGTGTGCGTGTTCTTTTTTTTTCTTTTCTGGCGTCTTTTTTTTCTCTGTGGTCGGTTTGTCTCGTCGTCGAACCAAGTGACCAGCTTTGGGGGGAGAAAAGAGACGGTCAATCAGCGTTGAGTGCGGAAGAGAAAAGTAAATGGAATTTGCAGCTAGTCCACCCTCATCGCCAATCCGGCAGATTTCAGCCAACAAGCGAGTACCTCTTCTGGTGTGGATCCCCGTAGCTTCTTCTGCTCGACGGGGCAATCAGAAAGAAGCAAACGAGTGGGCCTCGAGCTCTCTCTGGTCCGGGGTCTTGCCTGTTTTCGCGGTTGAGTGCTTGCGCATGTGCCTGGCTTTCACTTTGCTCCTGTCGATGACGGTTGACCAGCGGAATCCTGTCTTTTTAATTTTTTTTTCCCGCTCGTTCTCTTGTCTTTTCCTTTCTCTCTATATCTTCTTGTTCTCTCCTTCATCTTTCATTCGTCTGCCCATCTGCTCCGTTTTGCGGGGAAATCTGGATAAGCGGTGACACCAAGGGGCTGGTCCCCGGACCTGAATCCTAGCAGTTATACCTCAGTACTGTGTAGTTTAATGGTAGGTTCTGACTGGTAAGGCGTCGTCGTGACAGGCCACTGACGCGTGTTGTAGCTTGCGAATGCTGCTATCACACAGTATCAGACAGTCGCGCACCCGGGGACCCTTGATGAGAGAATGCGTACTGGTAATGACTCTGGCGTGTAGCTCTGGGCTGATGATGGAGCTTCCAGACAGCGCGCAAAGATCTATCCCCTATCTTCGTCGTCGTATTCGCAAGTCATCCTCTATCTCGTCGTCTTCTTTTATGCCGCGCAATCCTCCGATGTGCTGAATGAAGGTGATAGTGCAAAGGCCGCGGGTGGGAGCCAGGACGAGTCAAGGTAGGGAGATCACTGTAGATTCGGTACGTTTCGTGTTGTTATGCTGCTGTGCATGCAACTTTTGAGGCCGCGAGGGGTTTCTAGATACCGACCGCTAATTTCACGGCTCGCTAGATGATTGGCGTAGGGCGTTGGAAAAGCCAACAGTTTTAGTATAGTATATCGTGATGTACCTTCTCTCGATACTGTGTTTGCAGAAGCAAGAGGAGGCCGAGTCTCGATGCTAGCGCGCGGCGCGACAACAGAGAGAGGACAGCGTTTCGGCGCAAGTGGCGTCCGAATCCTGATGGTGAAAGAAGCAGTCTCGAAAGGACAACAATCAGATATAAAAACGCGACCGATAAAAGTGACGACGTGCTGGTCCTCCTTGGCGCACGCCCTCCCAGTTCTGTTACGACAGAAGTGCAGAAGTGACAAAGAAACCATTTCCGGGGGGGTCGCGCAGGTCATCACAATGGTGCGTACTCACAACCCATATTGTAGTAACGGGGTGCTGACATTGCATGTACACAGGCAATATCAGATTCCCGAGATACCACTCCCTGAACCTGCTCTACGGAGTAGTAGCCTCATTATCGTCCCACTCTCGGCTACCTGCTAGAATAGCAGCCAGAGACACTGCATCAGAAAGATCTCTCTTCTCAACATCTGAGATGCCTGAGTTAACTTATTATCAACCGAGATGACAATTGTGACTCGTTCTGACGGCTGACAGAGGGCTGCTGTCCAACGATCGGCAAGGCGCAACGGGTGGTGGTGGTGGTGGTGGTGGTGATGGTGGTAACATCCGTCCCCGTAGACCTGGTGTGGGATAGGTGCCAGAGTGAGCTCAAGTGACTGAGGTGGGGTTCGTGAGGTTGCATGTCTCCTCCTTCATCTGCGTCACGACATGATAGTGGTAAACTTGCCGGACCAGGAGAGGGCGGGAGGAGAGTGAAAATGGTCGCCCTCTCCGCCATCCCTCCAACATCTTCCAGTATCTGTTGCTGATGGACAGGGGCTGATGGGGATCCCGTACCGCGCCGCGACGACATGTGTACCCCGTACGCAGTGCTCTGTACAGCACCATATGAGAGGACGCAGTCGATACGACGTCTGAATAGTACCCGGTACAGCACAGCACATGCATGTACGATGCCGGTCTCGCTTTCAGCATTGGCATGCCGCCAACCAACCACTCCCACCAGCCGACACTCCGAGCTAAGATAGTCACCTCAGTTCCAGTGTCACGGGCTCATAGGTTCAGGGCCTGTCAGCCTTGGCTCTTTCGGCACTCGTTGGAGAGGCAGCAAGGTATGGTCTTGGTCGAAAAACAGGATGGATGATACGAGATCTGATCACCATAAGAAAAGATCCATCCTATGTAAAAGATCTGTGCTTGCTCTACCGCTTTGGTGGTTTGTGGGTCGTGGAGTGCTACTTGGAAGCAGCCGGTTGAGTAGTATTGCGAAGGGTACTTGGCATCGTGTTCAATTTCCAGAGTGGATGCCCAAGTTATTATCGCCATTTAGTAACCAGCAACCCGCTGCTGAACGGATGCCACTGTCCCGTGTCCACGGCGATATTCGATTTCCGATAGAGGTATGCTATCGAACCTTTCGTAGAGCCGATATTGCACGGTACACGATAGTTGCTATACAAGGTACACAACACATTGTCCAATCCGAATTCGGAGCTTTCCAGGCGAGATCAATTGGCTTTGTACACTGGTGGGTAGCCAGCGACGATCTGGCCCTCTTTTCCTCGCTTCTGCGATCACGCCCAAGACGAGAAGGGAAAAGGCTGTCTGTCCTTGTCTTTGTGACGAGGGAGCGAAAGGCGGGATGGCCGGTCGCGGACTGGGGCTCTTGGGGATTGATCACCGTGAGGGTGTAGTACCTTGCCAGCTAGCTTTTGTAGTGTACATACACTACGGCGACATGGTGGTGGTGAACTGGTTGACTGGTGACTGCTCTTCACGGGGCGGCGGGGTGCTAGTTCTAGCATGCAAATACTGAGGATTAAGGATTACGGCTAAATACATGCATACCTCGCAATACCTCTATCTGCAGTGACGATATTTCAGGTCTTGACAAGGGCCACAGCATCCGCGCTGTCGCAGTAATTGACCTCGGATACCATGGCAATGGTAGTAGGATTGGTGCATCAAGAGAAAACTTTCTTCATTATGATCAATTCTCTTCCACCTCTTTCTTTCCAAAGTGGAAGTTGTGGCTCCCCATTCCAAGCATGGACGGGCGGGCGCTGATGGGCAGTGGTCGAGCACTGACTGCATTGCAGTTTCTTGCAAGATGGATGGAAGGAAGCTCCTGCCGCAACCCAGCCAGGCTATGGGAAATTGGATGTTCTGCGGATGACAGGGCAGAAACTGAAGGGCACTTACGTCGGCGTCGCTGCTGCGGATGTACACAGTGCATGGGGCGCGCCTGTGGGTCATCCTGTCAAATTTACATTAACGCGATGAGAACCATGTATTACGATTGGGCACAATTCGAATCAGTTCAGAGCCAACCGCCGTCATGCTACCTCCATGGACTGGACATCTGGCTACATACCTCCCATGATCCGCTAATCCTACCGCACCAGTCAAGCTCAACTCATGTGGAAGCGCTATACGTAGCAGCATCTTGGAAGTCGCAGGCTTGAGGCCAACGGAAGGTGCTTAGGTCTAGACGAGAGCCTCTTCCCTTCCCTTGCAAGGGCTTTCCACAAAATCTCCGATAAACAGGCTCCCTTCCTTCGATTCTCCAAAGTAGGTAGGTACCTACTCTCCCGTCCTCATGCCTAGAGGTACCTACTTCAACGGACTTTTCCGTCCCCTTCCTTCCCCAGGAGTTCCTACAGACTATCATGCCATGGTCCCATTGCGGCAACACCTGTAAAATAAGGAATGCGCAGCCCCGGCTGAAAGGACATGGGGGTTATCTCTAGGTACCCGAGGGGTACTACGTTCATTGGCCTGAGTGGTTCTAATTGTGCCAGAACTCGGAAATTCTCAACGGATTCCTGGTCGGAAAAAAAAAAAAAGGGAGGGAAAAAAGAGAAGAAGAAGAAAGACGAACATTCAACAACATCGCCATGCACAACCCTCAAAATGTCATACCATGACATATGTCCCCAACAAAAACATGCGGGGTCTCAGGCGTCACTTGCTTCATTCCCTATCAGACACACAGAAGCTGAAACTGGCAGTCTTGGGACCCTCCATGTCTCTGATGCCCTTTACCCTTCTTCCCCAGATACTGTGGATTGTGCCGGATTGCCTACCTTGGCAAAGCGCACCCAGTTCCACTGGAGAAAGGCGGTGACTTGATGGTCAGATCCAGCAATCCATCAACGACCAAGAACAGAGGGATGTCTGTGTTCCCACTCAGTACCACTGTAGCCGGCGGGCATGTCCCAGTCTTTAAGTGAGAACCTCCTCGCCTTCATCTCCCATCCGGTCCAGCCACTCCCGCAGTTCCGTTAGGTCGGGTTTGTCCCCAACTCCATCTTTGTTTTATTTCCACTCTTCCAGATCACCGCTGTGCCCTCATAGACCCCGTCAAGGACAACATCCAGAAAAGGCGCGAGCAGGCCCCTGTCGTTTGCACCGATGGTGATCTACCTTCTCAGCGGGTATTATGCGTCTATCGATATAGCAAGTGGAGGGCGCCACGGGACCTGAAGACCTATGCCTCAGTTGGGGCCACTTAGGCGGACCAACGATAGCCCAAGAGGGTGAAAGCGTACCGCTCGGCAGCTCTCGGTCTGTGGGCGGGAAGATCTCACTGCATTCATCACTACCTCTAAGGACGGATCCTCTCCTTCCCGGTGAACGGCGTGCCCTATCACGCTTATCAAAATCCGGCTTTTCGACAGCCAACCCCCAAGGGATGACATGCAAATATCTTTTCCAAGAATGGTGTCTCTTCTACAAACTAACAAAGCCCATCAAGCTATCAAGGGCCGCCTGAGCCTACCCTTTCTGACCTATCACTGCGTAGACCTCACCTTCACCGCTCTAGCTTACATGGGCAGAGAGGATCAGGCGCCAGGCTTGAATAGGCAGTTGAGTGGTAAACTTTTCGGGCCGCTGCAGTCCTCCATCAAGTCACAGAGGGCTATCATCTGGGCACGACTGCGTAGAGCAAAAACCGCTAGAAAACAGAATTTTCATGTGATCGCAGCTTTTGTCCACACAGATGGGCCCTTCTCCGTGGACTAACGCTAGGTTACCGTACAGTCGGTAACTTCACCGCTCTCCGTATATAACGGGTACACAGTACTTACGATATCTCACTCTACTGACTACCTAGATGAAAGATCCTGCTCCAGGACACATCTCGAACCCACGGCAAAAAAAACATAACCACAGCCGACTAGTACATCGCCAAAGCCCAAAGGTTATACGCGCACATTTGTGATTGTCTACACTACATCCCCATGCATACCTGCGACAAGCAATTCAACCACCACATGCAGTCCACAGTTGGTCCTACCCTGCCATTCTTTATCTCCGGGCTGCCTCTGCCTCTCCCTCCAGAAAAAAAAAAAAAAAAAAAAAAAAAAAAAAAAAAAAAAAAAAAAAAAAAAAAAAAAAAAGAGACGACGACGAAGACCAGCAAACATTTTCGGCTCTGAACTCCGTCCTCCTCTTTCCGAGCCGCCGACCGAGCTACCGATTGGTACCGTGCCTTCAGTCAGTCCTGTAAACCGAAAGTTTGGGACTCTGGATGGCGAACAAGGTTCACTTAAACTTGCGCCCGTTTCCACTTTTCGCATTACCCTCCAAACTCCAACGCCTTGTCAGGTGATTATTTCATACCAAGGCTTTCTGACGCCATAACTCGCTCATTCCCTTCCCAAGTGACTGATATGAAGGAGCAAAGGGGTTCCCCTGGCATACCGAATAAAACCTCGTCGATAGTTTTGAATCTTGTGTTTCTCTTTGCTTTTCTGCTTACTTGCCTCCTCAAGCCGGTGATAACGCGCCTTCGAAAACGTCCGCAATGTGTCACGCCCTCGCTCGGGACCCTTTCGCAACGGGCAAGAAAGGGAAAAAAAAAAAAAAGAAAAAAGAAAAAAAAAAGAAGAAGAAAAAAAAGAAGAAGAAGAAAAAAAGAAAGACAGTGAAGCGGTCCAAATGTCTCAAGTCCGACCACTGTCTCACTTCCATATTCCGCCCATAATTCTCTTACAGTGCACTCTCCACTCACACCAAACCTGGGGACCCAGTCCCTCGGGCCTCAGCTGCCTCTAACATTAGACGGCATTGGCTCCGGTTTTCATTTGACTTTAGTGCCCCTCAAGTCCTTATTTACTTTTGAATTCTAGCACTATGTACACAACAGGCATAGTACAACCACTAGATGCTAAACATATTTACCAATGCACAATGAAGGCCCCGCCAGACCGCTAACTCCGCGTTTGCGGTGGCTCCCTCGCACCTTATAGGCTCCGCGAAGGTGCAGATGAGAATCGTAATCGACGAATTGATGATGGCAGGGCTGATTTTCGGATTTGGGGCTTGGGGCTTGGGGGGTTGAGCTTATCCCAATGTGTTCCGGGTTTCCAACTACAGATGCCATGCGTGCCATCTCAAAGTCTGGAGGCGAGGAAGCAGGACCGGATCTACGTCCGAAGGTCCACTACCTCCTTACTCGAGAGTCGACGATAAAGAAACTAAGAACCGTCATGATGGTATATCTCTTATTCTTTGGTCATCTGGTTCGGTACTCGTAAGTTTACGGTGGCTTTCGCTCGGAGTTAAAGTCCCTTCCCTTGTTCGGGACATCCACCAACACGGCAAAAAGTCTTCTAGAAGAAACTTCTAATCTCGGTTGCTGAACAGTATATACAGTATGTGTGCAAGTGATAAAATGGCACTATTGACTACCAGCACCAGAACGCCGGAACAAAAGCAGAAGCCATCCGCACGGTTCCGGCCTGGCATCTACGGACTTGGGCTTCGTTCCGCTTTGCTTGGCAGTTCGCTTCAATAAGATTTTCAGGGTCCAATTGCGAAACTGTCAGATCAGCAATTCTCGTGGTTGACTCAGACTTACTTCTGGAGACGGCACCCGCTGCTCTGGCTTGCAGCTCGGTTCTGGTTCTAGGGTTTAACGAGGTCAGGTGAAGTGAGCTGTGAGAATAAGAGACAAAAAAGAAAGAAATAAAAGAGAAAAAAAGAAAAAAGAAGGAAAGATAACAAGATAGAGTGAAAGAAAGCGACAAAATGCAAGGCAGTGACACAGAGAGCGGCTGGCTGTAATAGAACATGCCAGAATCTGGGTCGTCGGACTCTGATGCCAGACGCCTTAAACGTCAAGTTGGAAACCATGGTTTGTGAACATACCAAGTATGGAACTTGGATGGTTCCCGTGATCTATTATCCCGCCCCAGGAGGTAAGATACGCGTGCAGTCTTCTAAGCTTACTTAGACCCATTAGAGGATATCTACATTCTCAAGGAGCTGGACAGATGGATCAGCAGCAAGCAACCCTCCACAATCATTGAAGCGTGCTTCAACTGTTCAGAGGTGGATGGCATTCA